ATATATACATATATATATATTACATGTGACCCTGGACTACAAAACTAGTCTAGGTATAACTGGAAAAAGAAAAAAAAATTAAATACAAAGTCAAAATTACTTAATTTAGACTATTTTAAAGGTTATTTTCTCACATTTGTTTAAACCCCCAGATTACAAAAAAACTGAACTAGTTGTTCCTTGGTTGGATATTATCCTGTCACAACAAACCAAACATCAAAAGAACGATTGTATAAATGGAAATGATGCATAAATCTCAATTTCCAAAACCAGATATTTGTGTGTTGTCCAGGGTCACATATAGCTTTGAGAATGATTTTTTTCAAATAAAGATCTATAATATATTAGTGGTGCAACAGATCGCATATCTCACGGCTCGTATCACACTACGGTTTTTGAGTCACGGATCGGAACATTTTTCAGGTCATTCATTTATACAAAAATATTACTGCAAAACCATTGGTTTAAACAAAAATAAAAATAAAAAATCAAGAAAATACAGCTGAAAAAAGGAAAATATTCAATATGAAAAATGATCTTTGCAACTGTTGCTGATAATGCTAAATAAAAGTGTACAAGAAATCTTGTACAACATATCATTTATTTTCAATTAATGATTCAACAATTCACACACAAAACTACAACATTCAGAAGCGTCAAGTTCCTTTAAACTGTGATTTAAATCTTACCATAAATATCAGTGTTTATATCTGAACTATAAATTGTTCTCCCAGTACTTCTGTGTTATTTAATTGTTTGTAACTAACTAAAAAATTGCAAAAACGGAATCTCTCTCGATCAAACTCAGATTTGAATGCAGCACTCCGAACGATTAATAAACATTTGCAAATCATTATCATTTATCAGTCATGTTTGAATTTAGATCACGATTTGTAAATGTTTAATTGTGCAGCATTACACTGTATGCTTTAATGCAGGCTAAACAAACACAAAACACCTTTAATTAATAGCTTAAGAAAGCATTAAGGTCCCACCACAACTTTTTTTGTCATCATTATATTTTACAGGGAAGGCAAAATGCTTTCATACACGTGATTTGAATGACGCGAAGGCAACCTTACTGCAATTGCTATAAATATTGGATTAGCCTACAAGTTCAAGAAAAGTTATTAATCCTTGTGCGTTTCGAACTGTGGGTTGTGATTCGTAGGGATCACGGATCAACCGTGATCTGTTACACCCCTAATATATGTTGTATATTTTAAATCCAGATTTAGATTTTTCTCACATTTTTTCTTACATTTAGTGGTTAATTATTTTGCTTGGTCATATTTTTTTTCCCTTTTTTTTTCTACTGATTGTTTATAGTTTTGGATTTAAATATCATATAAAGTTAAGCTGAAAATGTTTAACCACTACCTTTTTGCAAGTTGAATTAAGAATCAGGATTATTGCTAGTTTTTTTTTAAGAATTTCAACAAAATTGAATGTTTTTGGATTTAGTCAACTAAAACAACCTTGTTTTCTATTGATCAGTTTGTCCTGTTATGGCATGCGCCAAATCACAGCATTGTATTGGCCAATCAGAGCTGTTTTATGATTACATTCACACCATCAGTAGATGATTACTGCAATGATTGTGATGATTGGAAAGGAGCATCTTTTTTTTTGCATTTCTAATATTACAAAACAGCGGTCAGGCCAGCAATTGCCCTCATCAGTGGGGAAGGAAATGAGCCTGAGAGTAAGTTGTGCTGACTTGATTTTGTCTCACTTATGTCTGTCTGCCTTCTCCACGTCTCATTGGCGTCCTGCAGGGAGTTTGCAGATTTGGTATCGGCTGAACAGAGAGAAAGATCCTGACATCTTTATGCCAACGTCCCTTAATTTGGCCAATGGGGAGCTTCACAGAGTTCAGATTCATCGAGAGGGACGGGACATGTATGTCCAGGTGAGTTGTGCTGGCTTTTCAATTAACTGACGCTAATTTGGTAATAAATTAGGATGTTCTGTTGCAGCTACTAAGCTTCATGATGAATGTTATATTAATTAATAAAGATGTAGGTCGTAGGCAGTGACCACTTTACCTGAAAAATAGAATCAGTTACACAGAAATTAAATTTAGGTCTTTGACATGTACATTTATATGGGAGTGATTGTGCACCTAAGGAGGGGAAGTTAAGACTATTCTAAGGGGTCACGCTGTTCGGGGACCCTCAGAGTTACTTTTTGGAGGCCCAAATAAATTCCCTCCCTAACCCTGCTCCCACCTTTCGATTTTGTCCACCATACTCACCCCCCCACTTTCGTTTGCAACACCTCCCCCCTGGCCCCCAGCCTCTGCTGCTCTTTACATTCTTCCACGACAGTAACCACCACCCCACTCCCCATGACTCTTCACTTTCATTCACTGGTGATCAGTCTTGGCTGGTCCCTGGAGTGTACAGTCACACTGGTGTGATTAGTACATTCATTGCGTCATGTGATCAAAATTTATTCAAACAAATAACATTCACATTAGGTTTCAGACATTTAAGTTCTAGCAAAACATGCACACTGTAAGTTGGTATAATAATTATTTTTAAACATAATCTGACAATTTTAATTTTTTTTTTTTTACGTCAGATGCACGCTGCTAATGTTACCAGAATGTTTATATATTTTACCTCAAAGTTAAGTGAAGTTTTAAAAACTAATTTTGAGAGGTGCATGTGATATGATTGATCACAGCAGGTCTCTCATCTGCAGTCATCGATAAACCAATCAGATTAATTCAAGCCTAAAATGAATAGTTCATTTTTACCTTAGATCCTAATTCTTGCTTTTTGAAGAATCCCTGTTCACCACATCTCCGCCTTTTCCTCCTTTACCAGGGCGAGCTCTCGAGAACTTTCTGATCTTAGACCCCTTTACATGCTAACTGACCAGACGAGAGCCCTGGGCTCATTCATCTCTGGGTTCTCTTCCGGGACAGCATGCTAAACCTACAATTAGTATCAAGCAATATCTAAGGCCACACTGTCAGGTCTTGATGCCCATTGTCTGTTTACATGTTCTTTTAATTGTGACCCATATCTTATTCATGTGTTTACACTTGCGCATGCATAAAAGCCGGCTCTAGCATATTTGCCACACTAGAAACACTAGAAATTTGCGAAGTTTGCCCAACTTTAAAATGATTTTGAGGCGGAGGAGAATTGAAAGGGCCATCATCGCAGCTTGCACTTATGGTTTATATATGGTGTTCTCCACCATTCTGAGGATTTTGGGGCTATGAGAGAGATCTTGGGTCTGGTTGGAGCAAATTGTGGCGACTGACCACTTTTCTTCCTTCATGTTTTCTCTGTTGTTGTTTACTGCGTCAGCGTCTGCACCCATGCTCTTTCGCAAGTTTAATGACGTACAAAACGGAATACATGAATAAATTCAATCTGCCTGTTTACATGATACGTGATAGCTACATCTGATTTATTTCCACATATGAAGAAGGCCTGAAACCGATCTTTGAATATCCAAATGCATGCTTTATTTCATGTTTATGCGGCCATAGAACAGATCCAATCTGTCACATATGAGCAAAAAATCGAAATTGGGTCACATTTAACTGGCAGTGTAAACAGGGCTTGAGTGTAAACTCTTGAAAAAGCCACTTTCACAAATTTCAGAAGTTTGTGAACTTACATGTTGTAAATCCAGCAGCTCTAATCTTTTCACTGAAGCGCAGAACCCATCATCTATTGTAGATCAAACAATATGATCACTATTAACCTGTTTAAAAGATAAATGCATGTATTACAGATATTTACAGATATTATATCAATACAATTATAACTCGTATCAGTACTTGATGAAAAGAGAACAAAAACAATAAACTGTATGAATAAATCATGGTTCCATTAAAAAAAAAAAAAACATGTAGCGTCAGCAGGAATACTTAAAACGTGTGTGAAAGGGTTAAAAGGTTTGTCAAATTAAGGGTTAAAAGGTTTGTCAAATTTACTGTATGCAACAATTGTGTATGAACTAGCAAAGTATGTATGAATGTATGAATAAATTGTACTAAAATTCAATTAAAGATGTGTGTCACGTTATGCAACAATTTCAAATAAATCATTAGGTTGCAGTCATGCAACAATTTATGTTCTGCTAAAAATGATATCCTGTTTTTTACAGACATTTCACAAAAATTCAATAAAAAATGCCGGTTATGTTCTCGCACCAATTTATGTATACAAAGTTTTTCACACTCATTCAGTTAAAGATGTCTGAACGCTCACAGTCATGCAACAATTTACATAGCAATAGATTTATGAATAAACGCATTCCTCTCAATTGATTTAGATCAGATTTGTTTTCAGTCTGAAGATAAAGTACCTTGACGTGCATGGCTGATGACAGATTGAAGTTTTGTACCCACCCCGCAACACAGACTTTATGAGCAGTGCTTAAACTCAAGGATGTCATCAGTATTCTCCACGTAGTGTTGCAGATTAACACAACGTCTTTTGTCTCACACCAATAAAATACCAGAGTATTTGTAGAATCCTGCGAATGTCACGCCACATCTCTCTCTCTCTTTCTCACTCTCTGGTTTTCCCTCTGTATCCTTTTCCTTCTTAGATTGATAAAGATACCAATCTGAAATACAGCCTGTCGACGGACAAAGAGTTGATCACGATAAGGTCTTTGACATTGGGGAAAGTCACAGGTAGGCGGTTTAATTAAACTCTAAGATTAAAGCTGTGGGTGTGCAAGCTTGTGCTTAACTGACTGATTCACCACTCCAACTCACCTTGAGAGTTTATGGCCAGGAATTCTTCATATAGCACCATTTTTTGGTAGTTGTGGGAACAAATATTGAAGATCTTCCTAAAATTCTCCTTGTTGCTGTCAGGTCGAGCTGGTGTTGATGAAGAGGTTCTGCAGGCGGGATCGAGAGGTTTTATTGGCTGCCTGTCTTCAGTTCAGTTCAACCATTTGGCTCCTCTCAAGGCAGCCATATTAAATCGAGGAAGTTCGTTGGTCAACGTCCTTGGTAACCTGGTAGAGTCCAATTGTGGAGAGCTTGCGGATAAGTCTTCATCCAGATCTTTGTCAGGTTGGTCAAACTATTATAGAGTCTTATGATTTGAATGAATTGCAGGATGAACGGGATCAGATTCCCCCCTACACTGGTGCATTTGATTTTTAATAATTGCTGGGATCAGATCAAGTGTACACAATGCTGAACACCAATCGCACACAGGTTCTTAATATCAAATGAAAATTCACCATTTTGGACTTCATGCCAGGATCCAATATCTCTTAAGCATATTTTATTAAATTGTGCTGGTCTCCTAGGATATGTTATTACTCTGCAAACATTTTATAATCAGAATCAATCATAAAGTTTTGATCCAAACCTAAAGTCTATATATGATCTTTATTAGTACTTCAACTTGTTACTTGCCCTAAAAGATAGACAAGAAACTAGGAGTGAGTTAAAACCTCATTCAGGCTACTGTACCAATATTGCCAGGTAGATATAAGGTTGATATTTAGGCACAATCCCAATTCTATTTTTGTACCCCTACCTCTTCACCTTCCCCTTGACCCTTAAAACCGAGGGTGAAGGGGAAGGGCTTTAAAATTTACCTCTAAAAAATGGGACAGCACCAGCACATGTCATCATATGTCATCGCAATCTTGTGCTTCAAATGAGATCAGAAGAACGCGACTGCTGTAATTATTTCAGTTGTTATTGCCAGTCATCTGGCAATAAGAGCGCAACTATCCTGCGCTTTAACACACTGGCCATATTCATCTATGTACACACCAAAAACAACATTAACATTATAGCAGACACTGTAAAAAGGTCTTTCCCAGTAACTAGACTTTCTGACAGGGTATTCGTGTGTCATTGAGTGTCAGAATGTTGTGGTACTGCTGTACAAGAGTTATTGTTATGGATTATAGATTGTAAAATTAAGCGTTTTTTTTTTTTTTTTTTTCCTAGTATTTTTTTTAAGCATGACGGTAAAAAAAAAAGCAAACGGTTATAATGTATTAAAACCTGTGCTTGTTTGTTGTAAAAATTCGTAATACTGACAAAAAATACTAATTTGTGGATCTCCTGCTATCCTGCCATTGTGGCTGGTATATTCTGGGAAATTTTCTTACCCTTTGGTTTCGAGTGCGTCCTAAAAAATATCTGTTCGAAGGGCCATCTACCCCTTCCGCGTAGCCTTACGCCTTCAAGCTAAAAAGAATTGGGACACCTCTACCCCTTTACAGGAATGCGCAAAACGAGGGGTAGGGGTAAGAGACAAGGAAACTAGGAGTGAGTTAAAACCTCATTCAGGCTACTGTGCCAATATAGCCAGGTAGATATAAGATTCACATTTAGGCCCAATACCAATTCTATTTTTGTACCCCTACCTCTTCCCCTTGACCCTTAAAACCAAGGGTGAAGGGGAAGGGCTTTAAAATTTACCCCTAAAAATGGGACAGCACCAGCACACGTCATCATATGTCATCGCAATCTTGTGCTTCATATGAGAACAGACGACCGCGACTGCTGTGATTATTTCAGTTGTTATAAGAGTTTAACTATACTGCGCATTAACACACTGGCCATATTCATCTATGTACACACCAAAAACAACATTAACATTATAGCAGACACTGTAAAAAGGTCTTTCCCAGCCACTAGACTTTTCTGACAGGGTATTCGAGTGTCATTGATGATAGATTGTAAAATTTAGCGGTTTTAATTTTACAGTTTTTTTTAAAGCATGATGGTAAAACAAGAACATGGTTATAGTGTATTAAAACCTGTGCTTGTTTGTTGTAAAAATGCGTGATAATGACAAAAAATACTAATTTGTGGATCTCCTGCTATCCTGCCGTTGTGGCTGGTATATTCTGGGAAATTTTCTAACCCTTGAGTTTTGAGTGCGTCCTGAAAAATCTCTGTTCAAAGGGCCATCTACCCCTTCCGCTTAGCCTTACACCTTCAAGCTAAAGAGAATTGGGACACCCCTACCCCTTTACGGGAATGCGCAAAATGAAGGGTATGGTTAAGGGGAAGAGACAAGGAAACTAGGAGTTAAAACCTCATTCAGGCTACTGTACCAATATAGCCAGGTAGATATAAGGTTGACATTTAGGCCCAAAACCAATTGTATTTTTGTACACCTACCTCTGCCCCTTCCCCTTGTCAGAATGTTGTGGGACTGCTGTACAAGAGTTATTGTTATGGATTATAGATTTTATAGATTGAAATTTAGCGGGTTTTATTTTAGCGTTTTTTTTTTTTTTTTTTTAAAGCATGATGGTAAAACTAGAACACAGTTATAATGTTTTAAAACCTGTGCTTAATTGTTGTAAAAACTCGTAATAATGACAAAAAATACTACCCCTACCCCTTCACGGGAATGCGCAAAACGAGGGTTAGGGGTAAGGGGAATGGCTAAGGGGTAGAATTGGGATTGGGCCTAAATATAATTTCCACATCTCTTTTTGGTTTATTCACAGATTCTACAGATACAGGAAGTAGAGGAAAGAAACTTTTGAATGCTCAAAATGACTCTGCGGTAATTGGAGGTAGGTGTCTCTCTCCTGCTCCCAAATGCAAAGGTTCTGTAGAATTAGACCTTTAACGAGAATCCACATAATTATTCTTTCAGGAATATATCTGATCAACTTTCGACGGGGTGACAGTAGAGGTTAAGTCACATTAGCAACTTTTTGTAGGCAAAAATGTCTTGCCTGGAAAACTTTCTCATTCCTAAACTCAAAAAAAGTTTAAATCGCTTTGGAAATCATCCTATTTTGACAAGGATTATTTATCAAGCAACAATAAATGTGAACACATCTGAATTGGTAATTGTCTGCAGTCCACAAGTGGCACTTATTCTTTCTCTCACAGGTTTGATAGCAGCAGTAGTGCTCATTACCCTCTGCGCTGTGGCTGTGATGACCCGCTTCCTCTACCGACATCGACACGACCGTACACGGCAGATGGCCCCCGTCAAGGAGAAAGATCACCAACCTCGGCCAGAACTCAGATACCGGGCTGAGCTGGACCTTCACAGTGCCATGAGAGACAGCAGGAAAGAGTACTTCATCTGACCCATGGCATATAAACCTTGTGACCTCCACTGAGTCGCTGTGACCCTGCGCTGTGCGCCAACTCTGTGGACAGGGATTGGGGACAGGAAGTCAGCTGAGCCTTGTGGACACAGCCAGTGCCCTTCAACCCACCCAACCACTGTCCTTTAGCATCCAGGATTCAGGAAACAGAAAGTACACACCAGAGAAATGTTGAATTACGGCTGTATGCAGATGGATTTTGACAGCCCGGGTTCATATCGGTTGTTCTTTGCTGCGGTTTTAGACAAAGAGTTAGAAGATCAGGTGGCTTCAAAGCTCAGAAGCCGTACCCAAACATGGCCTTCAGCCCTTCGCAGAGGATGGAGAATCAAACGTTTGAAGCGACTCTTTTGCTTTCAGGGCTAATTATTTAACCAGACAACAAAGAGATTACAGAGACGTTTGTGTGCCACACATGCGAATCACTCTGGCAGACAAACAAACACTCAACGGTTTCCGTTCTGTGGACCGTGACCAATCAAACGGCTCTGGTGCGGTACTAATCCAGCACGAATGGTCTTGTTCGGCCATGGGCAAGCACGATGTAGTGATGCAAATAAAGTGGGTGATGTTACCACCGGGGCTCTTTCACTTCCTCATTCCTTTGCTCTGGTTCTCCTTCACACATTCATCCCCTGTTTCCTTTCCCGAGGACAACCTAAAAGGCATTTGCAACGGATTTAACTTACCAGTCATGTGAAGAAAAGGGAAGAGCAGGAAAAAATTACTTGATTGTATCATGATTGGGTCATATGGGCATTGTGTTCTAGAATGGAGGTTTGTTTTGGAGTGGAGGGATTGATTATGATATCCGAAAAGGGGATGGATCAAATTTTGGTTTGGTTCCTTTTTTGAATTTGGAACAATGTGTTCTAGTTAATCATTCAAAATTAGGGTGAAGGGGCTATAAAATAGCATGTCCTATATTGGTAGCTTTAATTGTTGTCTGGGGGAATAGAAGTGGATTTGTGTGGACTTTATTGGACACAAATCCTTGTAGTCCAAGTTGATTTCTTAATCTTCTTGGGCTGTTCTGCTACATGGTCAAGACTATAAATTTTGTGGTGCTAAATGTTTATTTAGCCACTTTGAAAGGTTGTTTAGCATATAATGGTCACAGAACTCCAATTCTAATTTGATAGGGTCTTTAAGGAAAGTTATTGGGTCAATTTTTATTTTTATGCTGTCTTTAAAATCTAAGACTTCCTCATTCAGTGCGTCTGTTTCTGGTGCTGGGGCTTTGCTACAAGCTTTTAGAGATTTACTGTTGGAAGTGCATGTCTGATACACCCTAGCAGGATTTTCAGGCCCTAATGTGACCCCTATACACTGATAGCCAATAGTCTTGTGACCAAATCTGAGGTCAGTGATCAGTTAAAAGAAATACTGTTCCAGAAATAAAAAAAGGATGTTCTACTTGCATAAATCACGTTATGTAGGTCTCAACCACAAAAGCGTACATGCGTCTTATCCACTGAAAAAAACAAGTTCTGCAAAATAGGGTTTTTATGCTATCCAGATAGAGAGGATGCAGCATCTTCAAAAGAACGTTGAGGACAATAAAAAATAGACCTTGAATCCTTGAATATAGTATAGTTTTAACACCATATTGGATTTCATTATGCCCCCAATATATTTATATATATATATATATATATATATATATATATATATATATATATATATATATATATATATATACTTAACATTAAATTGTATTTAAAATTATTTAATATTTGTTTTATTAGATTATTAGATTTATTATTTCAATCAATTCTTTGAGAGACTAGCCTGAAGGACCTGAAATAAAGCCCCAATGTCCTCCAATCTTTAATAACACACATTTTTCACATTTCCCTACGTTCACTGATGTAAAGTCTCATATGCTGATCAGAAATGGCCATGATGGTTTCTTTTTCTTCTGCTTTTCCCAGGAACACAAAGTTTCCTCCGAAGCACGTAGATGGTTTCACACTAAAGTGCATCACACCAGTCTTAAACTCTTAGACTGGGAATATGAGAATTCATTCTGTACTGGTGGGATCTGATTCTATTGCATTATATTCCAGAGGAACAGAGTAATGGAGTCAAAATATCATTCACATCCTTTTAAAGGTTGCCAGGTCTTTCCCGTATGAGCCTCAAATATGTCTTTGATCATATTATGATTTCTTCCTAGCCGCCATGAGATATAATCTAAGTATAATTGGTTCCCGGACTCAACATGATGCGAAAAATGTTCCGAACAGGATGGTGTAGGAAAGGGTCAAGGTGTCCAGATTTCTCCGATAATACCCACAACACATCAGAGCGAAGCTTCGAGGCGGTATCTAATCATCGCCCCACCCAGCCCCCTCATTTGTCATTTTCAGTGGCGTCAGGACAAAGAATCAGTAAAGCTAGATATTTATCTTGCCGTGATCTATGTAAATGTCACTCCTGCGAAGGAACAGAGATGATGGATCCTCTCTCGAACAGCCCTGGGCTCAGAACTGAGTACGATTTACAGCCAAATCTATCTCAGTGTGGATAAACACCAGCCTGAATGTTGCACCATGATTAGGCCGTTCCTCTCATTAGATTTCACTACGTCTCACTGAAATAATGAATCCTCAATCTCAGCTATTCATGCTACCAAAACGGACACGGAACAGGATGCCTTCCCAAGCAGTTTCAGCAGCTTATAGTGTCTGTAGAAGTTTTTTGTTGAGCTACTCATCAGTAAATGTACAAACTTTTATGCATTTCTTGATTATTTACCTACCCCCAGCCCATCCAAAAAGTAAATGACATTCTCTCTTTTGCTGAGGGAAAATAAAGGTCCAGACTAAAAAGGAAACTTACACAAATAACCCTGGTGGAAAACCTTCTGTGGATCAGTAGATCCCTAGCTGGCATACACTAATCCCCCAAACCTCACTTCTATCTGGGTCACGGCACCAATATAAACCCTACAGTTATTTGAGCCAGCAATTCGGTCATGATAGGCAGGCATGTAAAAGATCACATCCTATAATATCTGTCACTTGTGCAGCCCTTGAGGCCAGGAAAGTAAGATTTACTAGCACAGCTTTCATTAGCTGGCCTTTGTTACACTCCGCCCTAAACCTTACCCTCATCCGGGTCACGGCACCAATATAACCCCTTCTACTTCACCCCACTCTGAGCAGAATTTGAACTGGTGATTGAGGTTGCAGACTAACATTGACACTTGCGTCAGTTGTTCCTGGACCTCTTGAGATTATGGGAAGTTAGATTTGCTTGCAAAGCTCTCACTAGCTCACATTCATGCTGTCGTTTTTAAGAACGGATTCATATTTCAGTTGAACCGCACCAGAGATCTTTTGGAAGTGGACAGAGATTCATCTTTTCAGGGTGTTGGTCCACTTGTTTGTTTTGCATCAAGTATCCAAAAATACACTAATGACCCCCCCTTTAAAAAATGAATTGCGCAAGGGTTTGTTCAAACCAATCAAACCTGCCAAGTGTGAATACTCCCTTAGAAACACTAGGAAGGTCACGTGACAATATGATTAAGTATTGACTACAGTGAAATCACATATTTCACCAGATCATTAATATTAATGAACCAAGGTTGATATAATCCATTTGTCCATATGCCCCTGGGTAATTTCTGGATGAAAATGTGACCTGCTAACATAGTTTGTGAATTTACACTGAATGCAGGGATATGAAGTAGTAGCTGCTGTTTTTGAAGGAATGTAGCCGTGTCAGTTGTGTTATGCTGTTTTGTAGATGTTTGGTTTTTGCTGAAATTCGCAGAATTCGCCAAGCTGCTGTCACGTATGGCACTCAGCTCACTTCCTCCATAACAAGCCAGAATGCCTGGTACACTAGAAAGCACTAACACCTTTCACTGAGCTAAAATCTTTTGTTATCTGAACAGTCTTGGTTGCGTTGCTTCTGCTGAATGCCACAGGTCTGCTCGGATTTCGATCGTTGCAAAAACAAAAGCATAAGAACAAAAAAAAAGCGGTCAGTTGCCTAAACAAATTTTTTGAAGTGCATTTAAATCTTTTATTAACATGACAAATCACTGACAATGTTATGGACTTCTTTATTTTAAGCTTGTTTTATATATTGTTAGAATTCTAGAGGTGTATTGTAAATAAATGTATATTTAATAAAAAACAGAGTCATTTTTATAGCTTTATGTGCTACATTTCTGTGTCTTGTTTTCTTGGAGCAGCAGTGTTTATTAGCATGTTAGAAAAGATCTTGACGTGCATTGATAATCTGTCTCGGTCCTGACAGGAACAAACAATGAGTTTTGTTCTCGTGGGTTTTTGCGTTTATTAAGCAAGTGTCAAGTGTAGAAATGGTTGCTTTGGAACTGTTTAAAGAATAGCGAAAAACTTCACTTATTTTGCACAGAGATACATTTTGTCCTAATGTTTCCTGCTTTTTTTTTTTGTAGCTAGACAGCTGGTCAATTGCATGCACATGTGCACATATTCATCATAATATCATCTTTTGTGCACCATCGGATGAATCATACACATCATGGAACAACACAAGGGTGAGTTAATGATTGTCTTTTTTTTGGTAAACTATTCCTGAACTAATTTCCTATCTTTGGTACAGTATATCTAAAAAATGACAAAATAACAGCCAACTGAATGCAAATTTGGGTAAAATACAGACAAACCCAACTCTTGGGTTTAAAAATACATTAACTAAGTAGATGAGGAAGGGTATATTTTGTCCTAATTTGTGCTGATTCAACACATAATTATTTTGGAATGTAATTTGGACCAATGAAATGGCTTCAAACTGACTTCCTATGTACGGTAAAGCCGTGGTCACACGAGACTTTTCACCTAATAGAATTACATTCATACCTGCACGAATGTGTTAGACCAGAAACGTCAACTTTCGCAGTTTGTTGCATTGCAGAGTTCAAGCTTGGCAAAAACATGACTTTTCTGGGCAGAAATTTAAAGCATGGACACTTTTTAAAATGTCTAATCATCTTCTTTATTCCCACTCCTTTTCGCTGCACCGTACAACAGATTTCCGCATGCTCAATCTCTAGTGTGATCGCAGCATAAGTTAATTTTGCATTGTACCAAATGATGAATCTATTAGCTGGACTTAAATGTAAGCTGTCAAAATGTTTTATTGTGTGGCACGATAGACAGGGCTGGGGAATAAAGAAATACATGTAACTCTGTTACTTATTTAAAATAAAACATACAAGTAACAGTGTTTTATTCTAATTACATTTTAAATATGTGCTAATCATTTTTTATGTGTTCTTAATTTAACAATTAGGTAAACATGGGGATTTTAACTGATTTTCTGTTTGAAAAAAAATGTGTGCCATTTGTTCATTTAGCAACTGGTAACACTCCTCATGATCACAACATTAAACTGGGCAACACAGACAGCCATTCACAGACTGCACTTCTTTATGGAAATACAAAATAGAGGGTCATGGTTAACTTAATTCTGAAAAAGGACTTAACATCTCATTAAAGTGTCATCTGTGCATAAACATTTACCAGCATTGAAGGATTCAATATCCAGTTTCATCCAGTAAATCTTCTTTCTCAATTTTC